ATAATAATAATATAATGAATAATATAAATAAATAGATGAATAATAATAATAAATAATGATAATAATAATAAATAATAATAATAATAATAATAATAATAATAATAATAATAATAATAATATTAATAATAATGATAATAATAATAATAATAAATAATAATAATAATAATAATAATAATAATTAATAATAATATAATAATAATAATAATAATAATAACAATAATGATGATAATAATGATAATAATGATAATAATAATATCATAATCATAATGATAATATAATATTAATTGATAATGATAAATAATATATGAATGTATTGATAACAATAATAATAATAATAATGATAATATAATAATATAATATAATAAGATATAATGATAAACAATAATAACAACAATAACATAATAATAATAATAATAATAATAATAATAATAATAATAATAATAATAATAATAAGATAATATATAATGAATGATATATAATAATGTAATAATAATGATATAATAATATAATAATAATAATAATAATAATAATAAATAATAATAATAATTAATAATAATAATAAATAATAATAATAATGAATGATAATAATAATAATAATAATAAATAAGATAATAATAATAACAAAATATAAATAATAATGAATAATAATAAATAATAATAATAATGAATGATAATAATGACATATAATATAATAATAATATGAAATTAATATTATATAATGAAGGCGTGATGATAATGAATGAATAATGTTAATGATCATACATTACTACTACTACTGATGATGATATGATAATAGTAATGATATTAATAATAATAACAATAATGATAAACAAGAATATAGCAACAATAATTATCAATCCCTCATTAATATTATATCATTCTAAACATTATTACTTATAATTTTAACTTTCACTTCATGAACATTATTGCAATTGCTTATTGATTTTCTAATTGTCAGTGCCATCTTTATTATTGTTAATATTTTTTATCTACATAGTAATAGTACCATTACTATCCTTCTTATGCGTGACTGTTATTACTCACATTAGCATAACCATATATGTATATATTTATTATCTATCACGATTACCATTGTTATCAATATGACCATCTAGTAAATAAATTAATTATCAACAATCAACACCCAATTAATAATTAAAATCTAAACAATAATAATATCCGAGACTCTAAACCCAGCACAGGTGATAAGCCCATCACCGGCGCCAGCAGAGGACAAACGACTTTAATGAGAGGGATAACAAGGGTCATTTTTCACGGCGATTGACCACGGAACAGAACAGGGCGTCAATTGCACTCTCTTGAGGTTGCAATGTTGATCAAGTGCTTGCTTTGGCTTGGCATTACGAGATCGTAATTTTCAGATTATGATGTCGTGAATTTGGAGATAACGAGATTAGAGGGAGGGAAGGTTTTGTCTTTAAGTTTGTAATGAAAGGAATGTGCGGTGTCGGTTTAGTACGCCACACGGGTCGCGGTGCGGGTATGAGAGTTTTTTTTTTTTTTTTCGGTGTCCTGT